AAAATGTTACTACTGTATTGGTGACAAAATATCAAATAAAAAGGAGTCGCAGTCAGGGATCGATAATCGATTTATTTGGTGACAGATCTACCATTCTGAGCACAGAGCTATTATTTAAGTAACAAAACTGTTATTATAAGAACGAAGTTTATATTCATGTAATGCAATATAATTTTATTGGTTATCGATCTCTTATTTTACACATATATTAACATTAATTTGATAATTCATACCTGGGAACAATTTTTGTTTATCTGAGAACGAAAATATTTCGTGGCGATAGATCTATTTATTAGGTGATACAACTTGATGACAAATATAAATTTTGGTGATAGAAAATATAGTTCCCTTTTTATTGTAACTTTGAGATTATGTCAAATTATTAAGTGGAACCCGATAAGTTCCATGACGTTGAGAATTCTCGAAAAAGACTCATTATAATTATTAAGAAATGTTTGAGCTTGTCGAATCAATTCGTGATACAATTTTCAAACCGAGTTTACCGTCAATATTCAAATATAAAAGTTAATAAAAATCACCAACATTTCTGGAATAACCTATGAAATAAATAAATTAAGTAAACTTAAAATGTGTATTCTGACTTTAATTGTGGCTCTTGCGTGCGTGGAAAAAAATATGCACTAAATTTCTACTTATTTGCATTTAATCCTTTTCTATCTTGATGAAGAGAAATTTGTATTGTATTTTATATTTGTTTGACTCGATGCGCCTTTAGTTATCTCTCTCTCTCTCTCTGTAGGAAATTGAAGGTAAATTTTTGAACGTGGCTGTCATACGCTGTTACTCTAATGTTTCAAACAGAAATTCTTTTTTAACGTTTCGCGACCTTAAAAGTAATGTAAAGAAACCTTTAAAAGTATAAAGACGTATAATGTGATCGTAATCTAAGAACAAACGTGTTATGAAATCAAAGGATTATTTGCATTTTGTTACGTTACCATTAACCCCCATTTAGATGATACGCATTTTTGTTTCGATTTGTTTTATTATTTCACTAATTTACATTTTTACGATGTACGCAGATAAGAGTAATATTTACATTGTCTGTAAATTATTAAAATGTAACATAATTGGTTAACTGCTTCATATTAATTTTATGCTCAATTCAGTTCTAAATACTATATAGCTTTTGTATGATTAGAAATACTGTTATAGCGGCATATTTATTGTAGCTAGTATAATTTATAAGAACAAATTTATTTAGATAACTTTAATGTTTACTAAATTAAAAGAAACAATCGTTTTGTAATGTAGCAAGGGTTTCTGCTATGCTGGTGTCACCACAAACCTTTCTTAGTTTTATTAGGAGAGAAAACAGTTCAAATTGGTTACGAACGCATATCATTGCAGAAATTCATGCTATTCAGATGTGCGTCCAGTGTGAACAAACTAAATTCCTTTTAGGTTTAAGTGAAAATTTTATAACATAATAAGAAATGTCATAAATCTTAGACCAGTAATATAACAAATGCTTTCAATTATCTATCTTTAACTTTAAAAAGTTATGTTGTGCGTTCAGTCCATAACAATCTTTATTACTAAGTGCATTAAGTTAAACTCATTCTCTTATAAAAAAAATACGATATTGATAGAACTGAAAATAAAAAACTTTTTATAACTGAATCATTAGATGATCCCCAAGAGATTTACTTTTGCAGTTGCACTTCAGTCCGCATTTAACGCCAGTGATAATAAAGTTTTCTGATTTTGATAATAATAATTTCATTGGTGTTAAGCGTTATATAAGACGTCATCTTTACAAGATAATTAACAAAGAAGATTATTGTTAATATAAAATTGAATATTTACTAGATTTTTGAAGACTTAGTCTGAGTTACTTTTGTTGCGTACCATAGCCACTGTTCAGTGACGACAGTATTGCACTATAGTTAAATTCAATAAATCTTTTTAAAGTAGGTATCTGTTAACGTGGATTTTTTTTATACTTACACAAAATATTGAAACTCAGAACATTGTAAGTCATGACGAATCTATTGCAATACATGCATACTCGTCTTGCTATGGGGATACCAGACGATCTTAGCGCAAAATCGTCGTGTTTATTGCCTCGTGAAGACGACGCCTCTTATACCCTACATTGTATCATCGTAATTTGTATTTTTTTTAATTTTACAATTTTGCAACAGTATGTTATTTTGATACATTGTTAATGTCTGACAAACACTAGTTATGTGGTAATAAAACTATTTTACATCACATTTATTTTTCATGTAATCGTTTAAATATGTGATAATTGTTAGCACTAAGACCAATGTTAGCATTTTCAATTTTAAGTTAAAACCGATAGTATTTTAATCATATTGTTATGTTTGTCAATATCTGGACGATATCTCTGTCGAGGTGCAATTAGTGCAGCCTCTTTTTATTATTTATTATATATGTAACTAGTTGTAAAATGTGATTAATTGTTGATAATGACAATATATTGAGTTTTGAGATGATAATATATAATTTTGTACATGTACATTTTTGTTTAAAATTTTCACATCATATTGCATCCCCGAATCCTTTAACTATGTCTCCGATAATGTTTCTATTTATAGAGTCCGTGTTTACGCTCAATGAAAATAATATTATCACTTATTCGTGCGAGTTTATATAACCTAAAAATATTCTAATTCTGAGAAGGACTCACCTAACAGCTGCACTCTGAAATGTGAATTAAATTAAATGCTTGTCAACGTGATAATGTGGTGTTCTATTGTTTGTGGAAAGATTGTGATAGCTTCAACTTTAAAATGATCATCACTTCGGGGCGATTTATGTGCAACTCTAAATTAAATAAGCTGTAGGTACATTGTTTATACTTTCAGTACTTGTCACGAATTATGTACTTTATAGGCGTGAAGAAGCAACTTGCAGGCCGGCAGGGTGAAGATGGTTGGTGTGGCAAGTAGAACTGCTGTATCTGCTATCTTCGCGTCTGGACTTTACCTTCACTTAACATCAGGTGGGGTGGAGTCATTTGTCGGACCTATCCATATAAAAAAAAAAACTATAAACAAACTTGCATTAAATGCACTGCACAACGCCGCCAGCTTCGCAAATTGCAATGAATATACACAATTTTAGCATTGAATAGGGTAGTCGAAAAAAAATCCGACAAAATATAAAAGTACTAGTACCCTACTCAACGTTTTCCTTAAGGATTGTAAAAAATGAGTTATCTTTTAAAATATAACACTTACAAGTACAACATTTTTCACAATTTCTGATGTAACTACTTTCTACCTATAAGTTTGGGTTTATTAAATAAATAGTTCAAGATAAGGATCACTCAGTTGGGACGATCGAGAAAAAACAAGATTTTCATTTTCTCTTAAACCAGTAAGATTTTAATCCCGATCTTTGTTTCACAAATTTTCTCAGATGCATAATTTATAATAAACATGATAATGTTTCAAACTTTTTCAGTATAAGGTAGTGTTTTAAAAGATCACTCAAATGAACATAGTGCATTCTGAGTGATCCATATAAACCGTTCTAAATCTTAAACGTGGCTTTGAAATGAATCGAAAATTTGTTTAGCAGCTTTCACAAATTCTTCACAATTATTTCAAATACAAATTATAAACACATAGGTAGTATTTTCTTGGATACGCGTTAAGGCTTATTCTTCAGGTGTCCAGATTGAGTGATCCAGTTAATTAATTCTAACTTTCTTTGTTTAGGTTTCACAAATTTTATACCTTACCATTAAGTTTTCACAATTATTTCCTAAATCCTCTTATAATTTGGTTATGGTTGGATGAGTTTTTTGAAAATATCACTCAGTCCACACGCACATGGGTATGGTGCGAGTACTTCATAGGGTGCAAGGTTGCCCCCTTTGAGTAAGTAATCCCTGCTTGGGCTCCCCTTCTATAAGCACTTCGGATCTAAATAATGTGCGTTGACTTCCCCAATTTGCATATGCATGATAGCGAGAAAATGTAAAAATCTTAAAACGGAGACGATTTAAAAAAAAATGACTGGTAGGTAAGTAAAATGAACTCCACAAAAACTGATTAACATACCAAGCTTCGTAGTTTCCTAAACGCTCCCATTGTTTGGCCTTATGTATATACTCCAATATAGTATTATGGGTAATTGAAACGTGTATCACCGCAAAACGAAAACGGTCGACACACAACCACAACCGTAGTGGGTTCAACGCAAAAAGTCGCCGTGTTTACTCTTTCACAGGCACTAAAATTAACTTATTGCCTTTTGTGCCATTCGAACGCGAGGGTACAACTCGGCTCTTTGTGACGGTGTCTGACATTACCATCTCGTTGTTAGCACAAGCGCTTGTTTTATTCGCAGGTCTCGCTGATTTATTTTGTTGGAAAGAGGAATTTCACCCCCAAGCTGTACTGTGGATATGGACTGTGTTGTCTATTGAAAACTAGATAGGTATGCGCTTTCTTTAGCGCTTTATTTGCCACTCTCGCAAAGTTTTTATCGTGATTAACAATCCTAGTCAGCCTAGTTTAGTAAAAAAATATGATTATATAGTTTTAATAATAGAGAAACTGAAGTAATGGTTTTTGGGTCGGCTGAATGTGACGCAACATATTATACCTACATGAGATATATTATATAACTTGGAGGATACAGTGGTGAAGAAGTAAAATACGTTATTTATGTAATTTACTTATTTATTTGAAATTGAGATCACACAAAACTTTAAAATTTTAAGTTCACCATAATAAAATCACAGACGTACACAACATTTGCACGATTTTATACAACTCAAGTAACAAAATTAGTAAAAGAACTTGTTTTTAAAAATGTACAGGGAGATAAATCTGACGATTTCAAAAATAACAGTTTTTTATCATGGCAAGGATTTTGTAGGTATGTCGCAATCCCAAACTGTAAAAAACAATGACACTTCATTGTGATTCCATCATTATGTTACTGTTTTTCATAATGTCAGATGTTCCTTAGTACTAGCCTAAATCTACAAAGCCTAATTAGTCAAAGTCTTCATCAGAGTCGGTTTTCAGGACGCTGTCTGACCCGGAGCCTGCTTCGCTGTCCACCGCTATAACACTATAAAAAATATTTATATTTAATTTAGGCTTTGATACTAACCTGCAATTTTGATGCTTTTATTCTTAGATTAAATAGTAAATAAATTTAAACATTTTCAGCGGTGCATCAATGTGTAGAATGATTAATTTGAGAGTAAATAAAAATGTATATATTAGATAACCGTATTGCTATTATAAATATCTGCGTATGAGTAGGTATCATGGTGTTGCTTAATAATTCTTTCTTATATTTTTTTGCAGCAAAGATATTACAGTTTTTTAAATAAAGTTTTACAACATATTTCATGTCATATTTTATGCAGGGTTAGCATAGCATCAAAAATGCGGCACGGTAAAAAAAATATTTTAAACACTCCTCTTTAGGTGAATTATAATAGGAATAACATGTTAACATTAATATTACGATTAACATTATTTTTCAAACCATGCATGCATGCAAGTATCTTTATTGCCTAGCTATTATGGTAATGTCACAAGGGTTAACAAAGAAAGAGTTATAATTTTTATTATTTTAAAGCATGTAACTGCTTGATGTTTATATCTAAAGAAAATGTAACTAGAAAAAAAAGCATAATTGGTCAGTGCATTCGCCCGGATTGCAAAGGGTGCGGGTTCGAGTCCCGTCTGCTGCAAAGAAAGAGTTAGTCTAGATTCAGGTAGCAAAAAATTCAACACGCGTTTTCGGATCACGCCCAATGTAGTAACATACACTACAAAGAAAGTATCTATAGCGCGGATAAACGTGTTAACATGGCCGCGAGAGGATATAGCAAAAAATAACCTAACCTGTAACCTTTAGTTTAACCATTCCACCACACCAATCATACTGCAAATATAGTCAACAGAATTAATTCATATAACATGTTACGTTATGTAACATAATTTGTTAGAGATTCATGCTTATCATTATCTATTTTATACTTGCCTGCCGTCTTCTGTTTCTTTGAGACTAATTTCAATAATATTTCTGTTGAATAAAACATATTTGTAAGGTTAACATGTATGTATGTGCCTATCACAATTTTGGATATCTCTATAAAATACTTTTATCAACGATAAATTTAAAAGAATTTGTTTGGTTTTGGTTCAGTTACAGACTAGTAAAAAAATAAGTCAAAAATACACAGCAGTTAATTTAGCCTTCAGATTAAACATTTTGCCCTACATTTTAGAGCGCGTTGATGTCTTTTATGCAAGAAAAATTGTATCGCACCACTTTCATGAAACTCATTTGTGATTTCTGTAATATGATATGTTAAGTATATTATTATATGACCGAGAATTAAATAACGATACAAGTTATTTAGTGTCTGATGAACATTTTCAGTTTTTAGGATATACAGGTTTATAGTTCATAGCAACGGGAAAACTAATTAAATGTTATATTGTGTATTAAAAATAAAATGATTTAAACGAGCATTGTGTATATCGCTTAATTAAGAACCTCATTTTGAGGATTTTATACTCTCATCTGTTTATTGGTACAATTACTCTGCCGTTAAGGTCTTTCGTAAGCTGTATGTCTGCGTTGGCCGCTGTGTCATTGAGGCCATTCATAGCCTCGCAGAAGTCGCTGCCCATGCTCTGCAGATGCTACGTGTATAGATGGAATCCCTGCTACTCACCCATTAAGGTCTTTTGTAAGCTATATGTTTGCGTTGGCCGCTGTGTCATTGAGGCCATTCATAGCCTCGCAGAAGTCGCTGTCCACGCTCTGCAGATGCTACGTGTATAGATGGAATCCCTGCTACTCACCCATTAGGTCTTTCGTAAGCTATATGTTTGCGTTGGCCGCTGTGTCATTGAGGCCATTCATAGCCTTGCAGAAGTCGCTGCCCACGCTCTGCAGATGCTACGTGTTTAGATGGAATCCCAGCTGCTCACCCGTTAAGGTCTTTCGTAAGCTGTATGTCTACGTTGGTTGCTGTGTCGTTGAGGCCTTTCAAAGCCTCACAGAATTAGCTGCCCACGCTCTGCAGATACTACGTGTTTAAATGGAATCCCTGCTACTCACCCGTTAAGGTCTTTCGTAAGCTGAATGTCTACATTGGTTGCTGTGTCGTTGAGGCCGTTCAAAGCCTCACAGAAGTCACTGCCCACGCTTTGCAGATGCTGCGTATTTAGATGGAAGCCCTGCGTTCAGAAACATTTCAGTTGTTACACTACGAGTATAACTTATTTTTCTGGGTTCCTCGCCAAAAGTTGGTAACAGAGACCTAATATTAAACTTTGGCTGTTTGTCCTTGTTGGCTGCTTGCTGCTGTATCTTAAAAAACGTGTATTTCTTCTATTGCTGCCATAAATAAAAATGTGATAAAGTTAAAAACTAACGGATGGACAGAAAGCAGTAGTTTAGCAATGGGATTCAATTGTCACCCTTTGAGTACGGAACGCGAAACCCTAAAAAATAAGTAATTAAAGTTAGATATTTTAATCTACCTATACTGTAATATTTACAACTGTAATATTTAAACACGTTAGCTCAAAGAGATTAATTAACACAGAACTACTTCAGCATCTGCCGCGTGTGTGCCAGCCTAGAATAGCACCCTCCCTCTCGTCCCATGAGTATGTCCCATGATATCTCCGAAACTGTTCACAACTGCATTGGAGGATATTTTCAAGCTTCTGGATTGGAAAGGACGAGGCATCAACATTAATGACGAGTACCTTTCTCAGTCTCGTTTCGCCGATGATGTAGTTCTTATGGCTGGGACCTTGGTTGATCTTAAGACGATGCTCGAAGACCTTAGTAGTGTTTCCCAAAGAGCGGGGTTTAAGATGAACATGGATAAGACGAAAATAATATCGAATGCCCATAAAGTACCCGCTCCAGTTAAAATTGAAAATACTACACTTAAAGTTGTCGACCGTTATGTTTACCTAGGACAAATAGTCCAGTTAGGTAAGTCCAACTTTGAGAGAGAGATCTCTCGTCGTGTCCGCTCGGATGGGCAGCGTTCGGTAAGCTACAGAAAATCTTCGCGTCCTAAGGCTCAAGGTCACACAGGAAGCAATGGAGAGAGCGATGCTCGGTATTTCCCTACGCAATAGAATCAGAAATGAGGAAATCCGAAGGAGAAGCAAAGTAACCGAAATCGCTCGAAAGATTGCTCTACTGAAGTGGCAGTGCGCGGGACACGTAGCAAGAAGAACCGATGGCAGTTGGGGTGGAAAGGTTCTGGAATGGCGACCACGCACAGGACTTCACTCAGTGGACAGGCCTCCTACAAGGTGGACCGACGATCTTGTTTAGGTCGCGGGAAGCCGATGGATGCAGGTGGCGCACGACCAATCGGTGTGGAGATCCTTGGGGGAGGCCTATGTTTAGCAGTGGGCGTCGTACGGCTGACATGATGATGATGACTTCATCATCTTTTGTCCAACGTAGCACATAATATGTCGGTTCGTCTCGTAGATTTCGCGAATAATCACATTTTCATTGACATAAACTAAAGGGTCATAAGAACCAAAAAAAACAAGAAAAAACCAAACAAAATAAAAATAAAATTGGCCACGAAGCAAGCTCTTTAGTGTCACAATAAAATAATGACACCTCGTTTCTTATTTCTACTTATAAATTGACTGTATACATTACACAGCAACGACAAACCCGAGATGTGCGTGTACCCTGTATAATATTTACTCGTATGCCTGCATGACCATTCATTTCTCTATCAGAATGGTAATGGTCAATACTGTCGCGATTTATTTCAAAAATAAGTTTAATGATAAAAAATGTCTTCTTCAAGCGCATAAAAATTTTTAATGTCTTTAAGTCGGGCGCACTTTAAGGCAACTCAATTATAACACACAATTTATTGAAAGTATTACTTAGGTACAAACCGTCATATTAGCAGTATAAATTTTACGATTATTAGTCACTTACTTAATTTATATAGTTAATTAAAAATGCTGATGACTTTAATGACACGAATCTATATAGTATTTGCATACAAGGTTGTTTGAGCCACATTTTTACATGCATGATAATACAGTTACATTTTCTCGCTAAGATTAGTGCCTAACTGTTCTTTGCAAAAAGGACAGCTTTAAAGCATCCCGCGCAAATCAAATTACCTTTTATCATTAATATTTATCATAACCGTGAAGGAAAAACATAGTAGGTAGGTACACATTCACGTTTGGAGGGGTGCGAGCTAAAATTTATATGAAGAAGTAAAACTACCCTATGGTTCCTATGATGTTTATTATGGCTACTGGATTTTAATAAAATAAATAAAACAATATAAAATACTTTTCCACGATATTCATTGATGGAAACAACCCCAAATCCCAATAATAACGTGCAAACTTCAAAGGACAAGGTTCAAATTTGTATGGAGGTCAGTCGACGACAGACTCCAAATTTTTATGACATGTAGTACACATTATTGTAAATCGTTTGACAAAAATCTAAAAATTTTTTTATCCACTTTTTTATACATAATTATTATAATATAAAATATTTGTTCCCACAGCAATTCTAGTCAATAGGTAACTAAAGCAGGGATAATAATTCTGTTCATCTTTAATTACATTAATAGGTCCAGTCAAAATAGATATTTGACTTCGCCAAAATTCTCATATTATCATTGGTCCTCGCCTGCGGGGTACGGGGACTGTGAGAGGTGCGGGCACATTTTTGACAAAATTACTAAGTATAATATAAGTGCTCGCCGCCTGTACTCTCACACGGTCCCCGTTTTCGTCCTCCCCCATACCCTGTACCCTGCAGGCGAGGGCTCAGATAATCGGTCTACCTATAGTCAAATTAATATTTGGAGTCGGTGCCATGGAGGTCTGATAGACCTGAGTTCCAAACACGGTTTAAAATTAATTGGGGATAAATAAAAAAAAGTAATATTATCTTTTCATTTTATTACGTAAAATAAGCTTTTAAATGATACAATTTCAAATTATTCATCGCTGTCGGACAATGACTATCACTTTGAACCGTCTCCTTTCTGGCAATAAATCACTAGTTTGCATAAATCTGCGAGTAGAATTGTCATTTCGCGTTATGCATACCATCTTAGCTTGATATTAGTAACTTCTATTTATAATAATCTGCCACAATCTTTGTGGTATTATCATTAGTATAGATCAGCTGTCATTTATAATTAGCCTAGACGTAAGATTAGTGTTCGCGCTTATCGTAAAATCATCTTAGATTTTATATTACCTACCTACTTATTTCATATCATGAGTAAGCATTATGTATTTCATGTCATGAGTGAGAATGACTTACCAATATAATAAAAAAAAGGTAATTAGCCAAAAATTTGCTAGTTGCAAATGTCGTATTTGTCTGTTTAAATAGTAGCTCTACAAGATTATAATAGGGGTGATGACGGGGTACAGTAAACGATCTATTTAGTCCGTCAGTTAGATGATCAAAAAATAATGGACACTTATTTTTTCTTTAGGCAATCAACCAAAAAATGACAAAGTTATAGCGCGTCAAAGTTTGGGAGGGGCTCGTGACGTCACTTTTGAGTGAATTTTCCCTTGTAAGTGTACTCAAACGTGACGTCATGCGACTTTTCAAATCAATATATCTCTGTAATGTTTTATATTATGTGAAAAAAGAAAAAATACGTGTCCAATACTTTTTGATAATCTACCTGATAAACGAAGAAAAAAAATTAGTCATCATCCCTTCAACAACTCTAAAAAAGCCTACTTAGATAAATGTATGACTTTCATCATAATTCTTAGCTACATGCGGTGTTGTGTGGAAGTAAAGAAAAATTTGGTACATAGAAATATTTCAATTTCTTGGGTAATATTAAAATTTAAAACTCAAAAGTATTATTGTTACATAATTAAGGGCGGTTAAAATACTTACCATGTGAAAAATAAATTTAAAAAATATGTGACAAATAATTTAAGTAATTTTACGTTATGTTTGTTAATCAGAACATGTATGCTTAATTAATCAATAAACATAAGGGAGCTTATAAGTAAAACATTAAAGCGTAATGTATTTATGTTTTATACTTTGTTAGCGTTAACTTTAGTTTTTTATTAATCCCTCAGGAACCTAACACTTTTCCGGGATAAAAAGTCTCCTATGTCACAATCCAGGTACATGAAATATATGTCTATCAAATTTTATTCACATCAGTTCAGTAGTTTTTCAGTGATTGAGTAACAAACATACAAACTTTCACATGTATAATATTTGTAGGATTTCAAGGGAGCTCGATGCAAGCCGTTTAAGTCATAGATTAAAATCGTCCAGATAAGATGGCAGCAGTGCTAATAATATAATTATACACGCATAGAATAAGTTTGTGCTTACTTAAGGAGGCATGTAATTATGTGCCATAATTTAAATCGTAAGTCCTATCGTAATTACCGTGTGTGTGATGGTTGAAAGTAACGCGAGCTAACGAGTTACTTTTTCCTTCCTTATAGTAGGGGAGCCCTCAGCCTTTGATAAGGGATTTTACGCAAACCTTCCAGTAGCTTCCATTCAAACGACTGACGATGGGATTTGGATGTGAACATAAGTAATGGCCACTTTTTGAAATTGCAAAAAAACGTGTTCTTGAAATACTCGAGCGCGTCAGATTATTATACAGTCGCTTCATCTTGATGACCTTAACGTACTGACCAATAATCTGACGATTATGTGAAGGAATTATATATATATGTATATATATTTATATTATCAAAACTTCTTATTAAAAATTCATCACTCTTGCGATGCCATTTGCCGTTGTCTGCCTCTGGAAAGGGTCGTCTCTACTAAATACTTGGGATTAATAATGGACCAACATCTATCATGGCACAGCCAGATCGAGTTTGTGACTGAGAGACTTAGAAAATTAACATGGGTATTCAAAACTCTACGTCATATAGCAACACGTCATCTTCTAAATAGAATATATGTCTCACTATCGCAGTCTTTTTTGACATACTGCATCTCGATATGGGGAGGTGCTGCAAAGACTAAGTTTATAGAAGTAGAAAGAGGTCAACGGTGTTTGCTAAAAGTAATGTATTTTAAACCTTACAGATTTTCGACAAATGAACTTTATGAAATAGTCAATTTACCGACTGTGCGTCAACTTTATATATTGATTACAATCTTAAAACGCCATAAATACTTGCCATATGAACCTAAGATAACTCAAAGAAGAAGAAAATGCATAAAAATCTCTCAGCATAACACAGCCTTTGCTGGGCGGCAATTTGATATACAGAGTTGTAAAATTTACAACGAAGTAAATAAAAAGCTAGGTATATCTAATCTAAGTATGTATGATTGTAAAAAAGCCGTTACTTGGTTAAAAACTAAGAACTATAATGATACTGAAAACTTGCTTCAAAATTAGTAATAATCAAACACACACACGCACACACACACACACACACACTCACACACACACACACACACACACACACACACACACACACACACACACACACACACACACGCGCACACCCACAAACATAACAGATATATTGAACACTTTAGACTAAACATACAAAATGTAAAAATCGTTATATATATGTAACCAATATGGTATTAAGTTTGGAAAAGTTATGGAAGAGCGAGAGTTCCTGACACAGGCAAATAAACTTGTCTACTAGGGATTCTCAAATATTGTATCACTAATAATATTGGTTATAGAAATAAAGTATTTTTGATTTTGATTTGATTTTTTTGATATAGTATATATGTATACTGATAAAAAGCATATCCTGTGTTTAATAAAAAAAAATACATATAAAGACATTTTTTTATCGTCAGTGGAATTATCTTCATAATCGAACTCCGATTCGACGTGGTAGTTTTCATCAAAGTTTTGAGAATTTGCAAAAACCATTGGTTATGATACTTAAAATTTATTTTATTTATTTCATGATATTATTGAAATTTTGAAAGAAAATCATACCTGAAGCTCGAGTATCCCCTAGAATATCAGGTGTAATGACGACATCCGCATAGACATTTGTACATAGTTTTTAGCGACTGCATGCACCACACTTTATTCATGATTTTAGCTCCTTCGGCTTGTGCAAATCGGCAGATTATGTTTTCAAGATACAAAAATAAATAACCGCGCTCGAGAATGTCTAGGTGACTTTTTTTTCAACTTTGTGACCCTCCCATTACTTTATGTCACGCTCAAATTGTCGGATTATTAGAATGAGTGTGCATTCTGCATGTAATTAACTTACCTTACTTTAATCTGACGCTCTCGAGTTTCTCCAACGATCGATTTTTTTTATTAATCTGATCGGCTGTCCTAGACGTTCGACAATATATAAAGGGCTAGGGTATGGTGGAAGTACTTCACAAGATGCAAGGTTGCTCCCCTTATGTTAATCTGACACGTTCGAGTAAATCCCAAAATCCCTGCTCGGGCTCCCCTACTATTATGTTATGCTGTGTCTTTAGTGTATGTAGCATTTTTAATGACACCTTCCGTATATAGAAAAATAGTAGGTAATAAAAACCTCGTTATTTCCTTAAAGTGATAACTTATAGAAAATCGTACCGTACACTAGTTTTTTTAACCGCTCCTCTGATGCTTTATTTAATTCATCGATTCCAAAAGTCTGCATTAGCGTTTAGTAGCCTTGGTTTAGACAAGTGGAATAGGAATATTTATAATGATGCCTTTAAAGTTTATAAATGAGCAATAAGCAATAAAATTATTTGTCGGAAACTTTGTGTGTATTAGACATTTAAATATGTATTATGTAATGGAAAATCTTAAGACATAAGCTAGATGCGCTTTGCAAGGCCCAGTTTTTGGTCATGAAATACATAAAAATAATATCAAAAGAAACTACATCAAAATTATATGTTTATTTGTGAATAAAATCACCAAACAGACCAAGACCAAGACCAAGACCACCTTTGCTTACTATGTATTTGACTATATGTTTTAACTATATGATGCAATAAAGAGTATAATAATATAATTTCATAATTTTGCTGTGAGAAAACAATTGTTTTATAAATACCTTTACAGTGGGTCTTTTTAATCTACTTAATAAAGGAGGAGGTTCTCAATTTGACAGTTTTTTATTGTTGGTTGTGCATATCTCCGAGGTTACCTAATGGACCGATTTTGATAATTCATGATGAATACATTTTTTGGTCAAACTAGTATTTGGTGTCGGTGTGATAATATACTTTGAACGGCCCCTGGTCGAAGCCGCAGAAGGAGAACTCGATGGTGTAGGAGCACGTGACACCGAGGTGTCGCAACTCGGTGACGCGCGCGGTGCTCCAAGTGGAACGAACAAAAGTTCAGCGCCAACACAAGCCATATATTATCATGCATCAGCATTGACACCATCTGTGTTGATAACATGACCTTACATACCTTGAACCGCAGAAGGAGGCTTCGATGGTGTAGGATCGCGTGACACCGAGGTGTTGCAACACGGTGACGCGGGCGATGCTCCTTGTGGAACGAGCAAAAGGTCAGCGCTAACGTAAGCAAGATATTATCATACAGCAACATTGGCAACATCTGTGTTGATAACATGCCCTTGCATACCTTGAATGGTTCCCGGTCGAAGACGCAGAAGGAGGCCTCCATGGTGTAGGAGCGCGTGACGCCGAGGTGCCACAACACGGTGACGCGGGCGATGCTCTACGTGGCACGAGAAAAAGCTCAGCGCTGACGCAAGCAAGAAATTATCATGCATCAACATTTGCAGCATCTGTTGTTAATAACATGACTTTGTATCATAGTAGACCTTGAACGGTCCTCGGTCGAAGCCGCAGAAGGAGGCCTCCATGGTGTAGGAGCGCGTGACGCCCAGGTGTCGCCACACGGTGACGCGCGCGGTGCTCTCCCGTTCGCGCTCCACTCGAAACGAGCACGATCCAAGCGCAAATGCGGGCGAGATGCGGTGCATCAGAGCTGGCAGCATCTGATATTTACATTTTTTTATTGTAAAATCGAGGAGGTTGATGTCGCAAGTGGTAACCACGTTCTGCTGCGATCGTTGAAGTTAAGCAATATTTGCAGCGGTCGGTCATTTTATGGGTGACCAAAAATTTATTATCTGGAGCTCCTCCGTGCTCTGGAAGGCACGTTAAGCTGTTGGTCCCGGCTGCATCTGCAGTCGTTAAGTACCAACTAATTCACACTGGGCCCGCGTGGTGGGTCATAAAGTCATGGCCCAATCTCCCTATTCTATCCACAGGGAAGGCCTGTGCCTCAGCAGTGGGGACATTAATAGGCTGATGATGATGTAAAAAGGACCGGAGGCATCATGTTTATTTGATGGTGAGATGCCGCCACAGATGAGTCGGTTTTGCGTGCAGTCGTTTGTAAGGTGGAAGATACTTCCCTTGACGGTGCAATACGAACGGAAATACTCATAATCAAAATCATTGCCTACCTTGAACAGTCTGCCTAATAAACTAGTATACTCGTACATACCACACATTTAAAAGTGAAATAACAACAGAATAACTTCATCTCCATTGCCACATTTGGCACAGCTTAAGATTAAGAAGTTTTTCGAGAAGTTTAGTTTTACAAATTATTGTAGACAGAGCCACATTAAGTAATAGATAAAGTAGACCAACTTCTTTAATGCACAGACTAACTATATAGACACTAAGCATAACGACATAACCACAGATACACTATCCAATATATCAACACTTATAACATAGAGTAATAGATTACCTACCTATACCCACTACAATTAATAGCGGAAACTTGAAAATGAAATACGAAGAAACTAATTTTATTATATTATCTTCCTAAATGCCAATTATTGTAACGTATCTTTTAATATTTTTATAAAAAGTAAAGAAATAAATAAGTACGTCGAAATTGTAATATTTTAATGAAGAACAGGAAAATTTTCATTGCTGGGCCCATCTTGACTGAGACGATGGAATTTGACCAGTTTACACGATGTTATAATAAATCGCCACCACATATTGAATGTCGTATGCGGAACGAATGCAAACAATGTAATGTTCGGTGAATTAAATAGAACCTCTCCCTGTTCCGACTCGTTGGGGAGACTGGCTCTTCTGGTTTAAATCATAGCTTTTTGCGTCAGGCCGTGAGTCCGCAATGCACTGATATGGTCGTCGGTTATTGCCATACCAGGTAGAGGGCAGCGTGGCAGCGCTTAATTGATCACTGCTGATTAATTATGTCCGTAATGCCTTATTTAACAACTTTCGACTTAATGATTGATGGCGTAAAATTACTTGCTTTTTTTTCAGTAATATCAACTCGCGAACTTACTAATTTTGGCGTGTGATAAATTTTAGTGAAAAAACTCGTTAGTTTTATGTTTTTTGTAAAGGTATATAATAACAATATGTATATTTCGCCTGTTTCATAAAAATATCTGAAAAATATTATCATCGTTTTTAACTTATATATAGGTTGCCCGCGACTTCGTCTGCGTTAACTTAGTTTCTTGAAACTCCGTCTGGAACCTAACATTTTTTCGGGATAAAAGTAGCCTATGTGTGAATTTAGGGTGTCAGCTAACTCCATACCAAATTTTATTAAAATCGCTCCAGCCGTTTAGACGTGAAGAAGTAACAAACATACACACTCACATACTCACAAACTTTCGCCTTTATAATATTAGTGTGATTTTGATGTTACTTAGTTTTACTTATTAATAACCAGAAAGATAAAGTCACATGATTTTTCATGATCGGGTCTACCTTAAACTACGAAGCACTAAAATTTTGAGTAACCGTTAATTCTAAGTAAAAAAAAAATTGTGTGGTTTTAACATTTGACTGCACTGCCATAAACATACCGTACAAAACACTTTGCGATTGGGAAATGTTTTAGATCAAAAAGCGTTCTACAAAACGGTCCTCCCCAACTGCAATAATTTTTTAACTTGTTTGTGACATTTAAGTTATTTTTGGGCAATCGTCTTTTTAAAATTTAGGTAAAAGCATCAGACTCGCTGAATGATATTCTGAAAATATTGCAGGTGATGGTATTGCTTTGTTTGTACGTAGATTTAATCGTATACTAACCAGGTATTTCACTGGCTCGTCCTGGACCAGCCTGTCGTTGCTGCACCAGCTCTCTGCTGCGGCGCACCCGTAGAAGAACACATTCTTCTTCCGCGAGTGCCCATGGTAGTCGCAGTACACCAGAGGAGGCTTCTTCCATACGCGTACCAAGTATTCTATTAGACCCTGCCAGGAAAAGTCACTCAGCCTATTAATGAACCCATTGCTGGGGCACAAGTATTCTATATGAACGAGTATATGGCCTTTGGCATACTGTATGTGCTCAGTGGTACTTGGGATGTGCGTAGCCAGGAATCGGGTCGAATGGAGAGTTCATGAAGAGGCCTATACCCGACACAGGGTGAACTTAGGCTTATGAAGAAAAAGAAGGGTGCTCATTACTATAATTGGTGGATGCTGATGACTTCAGATTCAGACGTGAAAAAACTGTCCGTGCCTGCCGCAACACGAAAAAGACGAAGGTTGTTCGGTTGGTTGCGAAAGTTGCTATAAATATTACAGACTGAAGTTGGTTACTGCAGCAATATCTAGCTTCTTATAGTGGCTATATAAATCATTGAAAAGGTGACGTTCATCAGTACTACTTAAATACATAAGTTTGCCGTATTTTGATTATCCGTTACGACTATGGATGCACTTACATAATAACTATCGCTCTTCCTGCTACGAAATAAAGGTGCAGCCGGTGTCAAGTTGTATTTTCATAAACGTGCTCTCAACTGTACACGACTCGTAATTGGATGAGAATTGCTTGGAGGAATTTAAAGGAAAATATTTACCGTTTCTCATAGGCATTTGAAAAATACAAGCGAAAACGATTCTTTCTTTCTTTGGTCCAACTGTTAGATACTTGGTTTTATTTATTTAGTGCCGTTAATTATTTAAGCTAGGCTTTTTGCTCCAGACGGGATAGTAATACATTATATTGTTTATTCAAATAGGTAAGTTTGACCTGAATATACTACAGCAACTCGTAGAAGCAAATTGATCGGTAAACTTTCAATGTGATCATTTACAAGCGCAGTTTATAACTTAATCGCATTATAAAGTACAAACAAGAATAATTAGTGTATATAAATTCACCTTGGTATGGTAAATGGAGGGATGCAGAACGGGACTCGGCTTACACCACCGTCTATTCAAATCTTCATTAGTGAGTCCGCATCGATGGCTGCAACAAGATATTAACATTTTATAAGTCGAGATAACCCAGAACTCTCGACCAACAACTTATCGGAGATAACTCCTCGGGAGATGTCTATTCGAGCGATATTAGTTCGAGATAGCATTTGCTTAGGGCCAAAATAACATTAAAACTAAATACTGTCGTTATGTTTCTGTTCGGATACCGTACAAATTAACATTAACTTAAATCCCCTATGAAAAAAAACCAAGATGCCAATGAAATGTTTAAAGTGATTGGCATCTTTTCTGGCTTAAATATATTTTTTCCTGGCTTATAAAAAGTGGAAAATAATATAATTCCTCGGCTGGCAATCGAACCCGTTTAGCCCGAGCTTCCTACCACTGAACCACCGGCGCTTATTGACAGTTCTGAATTGTTCAATAACAATTAAAAATTTAATGCGACAGGCTAATATGTATCTATGATATTTGTGAGGATGTAATTAAAATTTCATTTTTAAAGAAGGAAAAAATCTGCACTTCGAATTTAATTAAAAAGTGGATGCTACCAATTTCTTTGGAATAGCAATGGAATATCTAAGCCCAACATTTGACAAACATCAAATAGGTATAACTCTTACACGCGTATATACATAACTCTCCAATAAAATTGAGCTGAGTGTGGCCAAAGGCTTGGATTTTTATAGCAACGCAGTATTTTCACTGTTCATCCAATTACAAATTTAATTTATTGAGTGATGATGTGAACAAAATACTGCATTCTTAACTAGTATTTTTTTTACTAATGTCAGGGTGTCCCACGGCAACCTCACACGGAGGGAAAGTATATTAAATATTGAAGATAGGATATTTTACTGAAAGAAGACATCATTTTATTTTTAATAGTAACTAGAACTGCATTTACAGATTTTTTAAAAATCGGCTGCTATAACTGGGAATCAAACTCGTGAAATTATGAAAAAAAAAACACAACATGTTTTATGATAATCATCGAAAGGGTTAATCATAAGGATTATTTTTTTGCTTATTAACATAGCATTTTAAATGAATAGAATGTCTTATTACGTGATAAAAATAATTAAGTGATATACAAACTGCAGTATGTATGCATTTAATTTTCTTTTTGAACTCACAGTGATTGGCTGAAATTTATAAAAATAATAATTCGAAAATGGAACACATAAATTTTGTTGTCTTTTCTTTGGTTTTTAACCGACTGCAAAAAAAGAGGAGGTTCTGTGTTCAACAGCTGTATATTTTTGTGAGTTTCATTTTCGTTTATTTGCAATTATATTTTTATTTACTTACCATGGCGTATCAAAATAAAATGGATTTAATGGAAGCTTACTTTATGAACCACAAAGACATAATAGCTTTGCGGTGGTACCGCGAAAGATATCCTGATAGAGACGTACCTTCTCGATATGTGTTAAAAATGTTAGTGGATTCTTTAAGTTTTGATTTTTTTTGAAGGGGACGTTTTGATATGCGCTTACAGGAACCACAGCAATAGATGATAAACGTCAACGATTATGAACTCAACATTTTAACTTACTTTGAGCCTTATCTGATTTTATTTTAGTTTGTGTTAAATAATTTTAAATAAAATGTTAAATTTAATTACTTTTCTTTCATTTAAAATGCTATGTTATTGAGCAAAAAATAATCCTTATGATTAATCCTTTCGATGGTTATAATAAAATATGTCTTGTTTTTTTTTCGAAATTTCACGAGATTGATTCCCAGTTGTAGCAGGCGATTTTTAAAAAATATATGAATGCAGTTCTAGTTATAATTAAAAATAAAATGATGTCTCCTTTTAGTAAAATATCCTATCTTCAATATTTTATATACTTTCCGTTGCGTTGCGTTTTAATACAGATGCAAAATGTGTATTTAGAGTTTATGAAGGGAGCTTACAGTAAAAATATTTAGTTATTCATCCAATGACCGGTTTCAGCCAAAATTCAGTAATCCAATGCGCTATTTGTGCCATTAGCTATATTTGAGCTCTCCAAAAATAACAAAGGAAATATTGATATCACCGTCAGACCTACAATATCCTAGGGACAAAATTTAACTTAAACGGACAGACGATCAGCTCTTAAACGATTTGTCGAAATTAGCGGTTGACTACCCGTGAGCGAAGGCGTTTTAATAAACACTTTTATATTTCGACCTTCTTCAAAAGCATATATGGCTCACTTTACAAAAGCTTCTTATTGGTGAGCGCCAGAGTAATTTCATTAAATGCGCGACACGATCGCCTCCAATGCTATTTCGGTACCTTTAAGAAATCACAATTATTGTTCACTGCTGAACAGAAAGCTTTCGTGAACAATTTGATATGACAAGCTATTAAATTAAATGAATTGCCGGCCACGTAGGAATTTCACGAGTGCGTGAGAGGCGACTGCGCACGCGCCTTTACTGTCAAACGTTTTTTTGGGTTCCGTAACCAAAGGGTAAAAACGGAACCCTATTAATAACTGTCTGTCTGTCTCTATGTCACCATACTGTATCTCATTGTGATAGTGACAGATGAAATTTTCAGAGAAAAAGAGTGTTTCTATTGCCTCTATAACAATAAATACTGTAAACAGAATAAGAGAAATAATTAAGGACTCCTGTACAACAAACGTGATTTTTATGCCATTTTTTGCTCTTTCAAAACGGCAACATGTAGACGCTTGAAATATTCACAGAATATTAAGTTGGATATTCACTTTAAAAAGAAATATTTAAAATTAAAATTTAAACGGTCCACCATACAACAGACGAGATTTTATTCCCGTTTTTTGTTCGACATATTAAAATAAAAACTTATGTTATATAGATCCACGGAACCCTTCGTGCGCGTGTCCGACTTGCACTTGGCCGGATTTTGCTTGTGTGTGATATAATTTGTTAAATACTATCCGATGTATATTTAAGAATTACGAAAGCTTCCTTGACCTTTAAAGTTAAATACAACTTCTATCAAAAAATTACCAACGGCATAATTATCAGCAGTGAAAAGATATAATATAACACAACCACATAACCTAAAAATATTTGCGGAGAAAACTTTTTGGTTTTTATGATTATCTCCCATAATCATTTATTAATTTCATAAAAGTAATATAACCAAACAATGAGAGCAACGCAAGTTTTGTTTAAATGGAATATTATGGAATGAATTCTAACCAACATGTTTTACCTAATCTATCAACGTCTGATTCAGTGGTTGAATCTTCTGTCACGAAAGGAGAGATCGCTTCTTCTTAACGTCTGTGATTACAATTAATGCAACGGCCGCGGCCGTGGCGCGGCGGGCGGAGAGGCGTTCGGAGGAAAATTACCATGCGCCATAGAGTTCCTCTATTCTGTCGATGCAGTAGCCGCGTCGATTATGAACGAACAACGTCTCCAATTGTGTCATTATTTACAGCTACGTAAACTTGTGCGAAGCTGTGTGCGTCTGTCTGCAATCTACGACAATTCACAACAGCTCTCCCGTTATTAAAGGGCAATTCTTATAGTGTACGTGCTTCTGACATAATTGCATTCAGCAACATAGGTACATAACGGACAAAGGAAATATACTGGTAAACGCTACTGCCAGGTAACTGTAAATACCTACGAAAACGGTGATACTTCACCTTCTCCAAGAACGTTATGTCCACAAAAATCGTGGAAAGGATCATAATAATATTTGAAACAAAAAACGACTGCCCAAACGACTTCCCGAGTTCCCGAGAAGTGATTCGTTTTAAATTCACACCTCACAGATCTTGATAACGGAAAACAAGCCTGTGTATCGACAAATTGTGGCCGAGATAAGGGCTCGTTCTTTTTTTTGTATTTCATAATACGGTCAACGATTTCAGAGGAATTTCATAATTTGTATGATTCAAAGCTGGCGTGCAAACTGAATACTATTCGCAGTTCTACGAAGCGGTCACCGTGTGCATTTTTTCCTGGAGCAGACGGTCGCTCGTCCAATTAGGAGTGGTTCAGTGGAGACACATCATTAGCGGGCGCGGAGTGCGCGCGCGCAAGGCGCAGGTCCTCGACTCGCGCCCGCTCGTCCCTGGCCGCGGCCTTCGTCCGCCCCGACCGGTTGCGCATCTTTTACTCTAATCAGGGAAAAAAATAAGAGCTGCACGGCCGCATGCGCGAACGAAAGCGAACAAGCGAGAAGCTGCATACTGCCTGCCGTGTTTTATGGCGGCATGTTGCGGTACCAGAGCGCCCAGAAGGGCTACCGTCTGGATTCATTATTCTGCTAGATTACAGAGCCTACATCAACCACAGTAGTGAGTAGAGTACACTATATTTGATTACAATACGATCCAGAAGGTTACCCCTTTCACCCTCTGCAAGCTAGTCCATCAACATGACACCTAATACTTATGGCGATTACGGTTATTGCGAATTGTAATGACTATTGTTATTAACATTAACAAACAATTGTGTAGAAAGGTTGTTCACGTTCAATGAGCACTATCTTGTTTAAAAGGTTGTGGTTGCATACTCAGTTTCTTTCTAAGGGGTTACATAAATCAATAGTGTAATTATGTAAATGGTAAGCACAAAAACCGGCGTGCAGTAGCCCTGCAAGGGCCTCAGCGAGGACCGCGAGCGGGCGGGCTGGTTCAAGGGTCCAGCAGAGGCTATTAATAGCGCGACCGCTGCCGCCGCGATGCTATCAGGCCCGGTCGTTCGATCTTTACCCGCCCTCTATGCACCCCTCGCATAACATTCAGCCTATAAAATAGACAAAATAAATGACCGTTTTATATTTATTCCACCTATTTATAACATATGTCCATTGTTTCTACCTCGGCGGTGCGGCGCGGCGGTGGAATTCGTAGCCGACGGGCGATTCCGACCTTCTTTCGAGAGAGCGTTTACACTGATCAAATTGAATATTGATAAATACCATTTTATAAGCGTCGAGACAGTGGGCAATAAAGTTACCTTTGGCAGTGGTGGGGTGATTAATTTGAGTTGGGCGGGGGCGAGCGGGCACGGTACACGTCACGCTAATCCTTATTCTGTGCACGGAGGCTGCTTCCTGCTGCTCACACTCCGACTAATATTTCTTATTCAATCGCACTCATCCACCGTCCTTCTTATTATAGTGTAAGTATATACAGCCGATATGTAAAGGTGGCGTAGCTGTTAACGTATTTAGTTAGACAGTGTTGGGATTCGCCAATCGTCGCCTGCTCTTTACTATGTATGCTCGGCTGGCACACCGGCCGGACACGCCGCAAGTTATTTACGATAGTGGCGAGACAATCGGCCGGTCGCCGGCTTATCCGGTAACACTGTGACAATAACATGACGTGGTTGACTTTATTAAATAACGTCCTCAGGACACACGTGCCTATTTTCTATTTGTAACTTGGTGAATCATCCAGTTGAGATGGTTCCTAATGCATTATTGATAGCGTAATTTGATCTCACTGGGGCACGTAAAGGGCCATTAGAGTTCGACTCCAATATTGAGCCTTAATAAAAATATTTTTTCCAGGTTTAAGACGTTTGTAAATTTTTTGTCCATATTTTATTACTTTGTATTGAACTCCTTTTGTGGAGAACTCACGGTGTAATTTACTTAATTTAAATATATTCTGGTGATTATAAATACAACTTTATTAATTTGAAAGAGATCACTAAATTATTACCCTTACGTATTTGAATTTGAAAAATTATTTGATAAGTTTGACAGTTTTGAATGTTAAATAGCTCAGCTCACCTTACCTTTGTTTATATTTTTGCAATTGAATTTAGTCTTGTAATTTATCAAAATTTATTAAAGCTTGTATCCTTTTTTTTAACGTTAAACATATCTTCACCTAAAACCATACCACTTGGTGGTTAGAGAAACATCGTATCGTACCATGATATATAATAGAGAGAGGTGCTGCCGCCCGCACCTTTCACGGCCCCCGTTCTCATCCTCCCCCCACCCGCAGGGGAGGTCTCAGTTAAGCGGTTTACCTATAATTAAAAACACTTCTATGACGTCAGTCTTGTGGTATGGACCTAGATGTTGCTCAGAAATAAAAGACGATTATTCAGCATTTTAATATATTTGTCAATCGAGTTGACCATGATTTGACTGGTGGTACAAATATATTTGAAAAAGCAAAATAAAAATCAAAAGAGTTCACTTGACAGAGTTCAATGACATGAACTTTGTCTCCGCGAAGAATGCAACTACCGCACCATAGCGTTTCACTGCGGGTCACTTTTAACTGTCATTTAACCAAAAATGTTTTACAATACTCATTTCATATGATGTCAACGCAGGATATTTAAACTCATTAAAATAATCTTTAAATCTTTATTAAAACCTTGATTAAATTAAGAAAGAACGCTAAGGATATTACTCGTATGTCAGGCAAATAATTTACGTTAGGATGTCTTAACGCCATATTTATAAACAAGTAAAAGTAATTACTTTTGCTTAAGTAATTACTTGAACAACATTTTTCATTTCACAGATAAGAAATTTATCAAAGAAAGAATTCCAAAAATTGGACTTCTTAACCAAGTACATAGTAGTCATCATTTTCGTTGCTAGGTTACTATTTCTTTTGTGCTTTTATTATTGTAATCTGAAATAATTAGGTATCGACAATTTATTTGTATTTTTTCTACTATTTTGAAAGACCCATTGAAAGAAGTTATGAATAAAACTACCGTGTAAACGTAAATGATTCAACCCCCACTTAAGCATTCGCTTATGTAACGAATATTACTCGTTTATAAAAGTAAATTTCCTATTGAAGAATTTTAGTCTCGATTAATGACTTAGCAACAAGTAATAACTTGTTTATAAATACGAGCGCGAATGTTTAGTAATACCTGGAATCCAGATCAAGACAGGATAATGTGTGTGTAATAAAATTCATTTTTAAATGATCTTTAAATCATTATTAATGTCTTGATTAGATTAGGAAAGAACGCTCCGGATATTTCTCGTATATGACAGATAAAACGGTACGTTAGGATGTCTGAGACGTTAGTGATACCTAAAAACCGGCTTTGACAACTTAGTCAAAGCAACTATGTAATTTAAAATAATAACACACAATTACCGTGCTTGTATCATCATTATTGACAATGTTAGAATTTTGTACGTTCACTCCTGTACTATGTTTCCGGTTCTTGAAATTGCTATTTCTTAGCTATGCCACGCAAATAAATACGTACAATTTACAAAGTGTGATTCTATAGACACTATGTGGGGAGCTGTCATCGTTTTCATAACTCGCATAACTTTTGCTAGAGTTGAAACAAAAGAATTTCTAGCGGAATTTTATATTAATGTCCCGGTAGAAGCGAGATACAACATAAAGAGAACAAAACAACAACCTAAACCAAACTGTAGGTCCATTATCCGCTCTGGAGAACTCCAGTGCATAGGATTTTTCCTGACTGACTTAAATCGGACCCATTATTTCACTGCGTGATTCTCGATTGCCTCAATTGTGTCATGCATGAGTCATTATATTACAGTGCTTAGTGGTTCCTTTATAACAAAGCGTGGCTAGACTTCGCGATTCACAAGGCTCTTATAAAATTTAAAAATAAAGGAATTGGGAGCCCGCCCCCGGCCGTAGATGGCTCGCGAGTGCAATATTTACATAATCATCGAGACCGGTTGTCCTTGAATCAATAGGTACTTTGCTCCTCTCGATCGTGTAATCTTAAGAAATTTATTTAAATAAACGCTACTCAACACAATTGGTTTCGGTATTGTTTTTATTTCGTGCCACCAGAGGTCAGGTTCAAGTTCAGTGCGGATGGCTTCGGTGGGGGATGTCGTTGACTCGGAGTAACTCGTCTATTACAATGAGGTAAGAGGTAGAGCGTGAACAATTCGCACGAGTTCGATGTTGGTGCATGCACAGAACATACAAAGAGGTTAGAAGGGCCTTGTGGACTGGCAGGCGCGCCACAGTTATGTGTGATCAAATGTTCATAACTGGACCAAAATTTGGTTCGGGTTGCGTCGTTGCTTGATTGACTTGATGTTGAGTTGTTTGATTGGCTATTATTTTATTAGGAGGATGTGGTGGAGAGCCGGCGACATCGGTTTTCGTACAAACTGTCTATGATTACCCTTCTTACCTCTTTCTGTGTTCTGTGAGTGTATGTGTTGAGGCAGCCTAGCCATATACATATGCCACGGCTGCGATATTCTCAGTCATAGTCCTACGAGCGAGCATAGCAATGATTCCGATGAGACCCTTTAAATTGGACGTTGTATTCGGTACCAGCGTAATTCATTAGTCAAGTCCGCTCGCTTCGTCTTATTTATGGTGTCTCGGGTTTTGTCAGAGCACTCTCGTTTGTGCTTTCAATGTTATAGCTGCATTTAATGGTCATACGAGTAAGGAATAATAAAGATTCTTGAATAGGACGCACAGGTCAAGGTTTCCAACAATAACTCGTGGCACGGTCTTAAATACTTTTTTTGATTTATAGCTGTGCCTTATTGTTTGATTTTCATAAATCGTCTATATTTAGAAGAAGTTAATTGTTACGCTATTTTGCAGTATCTAGTTGCAAAAAGGTTAAAGCGAGATAGGAATGTTTAACATCCTTAGGATCGTGTTTTACCGTATTTTTTTTCTAAAGGTATCATGATTTCTAGTACTCGCTGTGTAATTACACGTTGACTACCTATTCGTTTGTAAGGGAATGCAACTGACTACCTTTTTATACTAAAAAACCAGTAACATAATTTCTACATTCCTAGCTCCTAAAAAAGTCAATAAGTAAATGTTATAAAATCATTATTTTAGTGAATAATAAAGTAATCGCGTCCTTTATTACAACACAATTTTAAAGCCTTCTAAATATCATAATCTTACTAAGTGTCAGAATCAAGAAAGAATAAGTTTCTTTGCTTATAATTAAGTGTTTGTAATGGACCGGTGTGTTACTTTGATTTTTAATTTAAAGTTCCAACCTGAACAGCTTGTGATTTAATTTAACACTAAAATCTGACGTTCGGAAGGGTTAATCACATGTTATTTTGCATATAAATTAACTGTTTTGTTGTGTTCGCGCTGTAATTTTGCGAGCACGATTGATGAGCGCGAGTT